GAACCTGGTATCATTGTAACAATGAGGCAAAACAGTTAAAGACAATTACATTGCACAATCCTAAATGCATCATTTATTGTACTAGATTTCAGAAAAAGAACATTCTGAAACACTGAAATAAATCAGAGTATAAATGTGACTTGTTGTCAGCTCATACAATATGGGTTAAATGCTACCATATGGTGAGTGCACACACGTTACCCTTTTAAAAACAAAGAACATGGCTAATCTCATTCCCAAATCTATTTTTAAATAAATAAATGCGATTATTTTAAAATTAGGCTACAATTGTGATTAAAACACCTCAGTTTTCACCAGCCCCTCTCCCTCTTTCTTTACTGAAAACTAACACCACTTCATTGCTCACCATCTTTTTTTTAAAAGACAAGGAAAAATTACTATTCAGTCAGCTTCATCCCCGTAATAAGACAACACAGGCATTTCTATGCAGTGTAAAAATAGTGACAAGCCAACTCACCGTTCTTCCTTTATTATACCTGCCAGAAAAGCAAAGCATGCGTGCATGTGTGTGTGTGTGTGTCTGTGTCTGTGCAATACGTTAAAACTCACTGACATACGATCCGGTTTTCAGCACACACTCCCAACAGGACCTGCCCGATAGAGAGAGCTCTCGTTTTCTCTGCACCCCCCAGCATGTACTGAGACATACAGTTTCGGTATACTCCCAGCCAAAAGAGAAAAACAAAAAAAGGACCAAAGGAAACACGTAGGAAATACACACAGTGTAGCTGGAGCGGATGCTGTTGGTTTGAAAATTGTCTATCTAGCCTCTGTGCTGAGTATTTGTTTTTATCATTATACTACAAATGAAACATGTCAGGAGTCTAAAAATAGCTACAAATTGTAATTACATATGCTTTGTAGTTTCTGTTATACTTCGAAAAGAAGATTAAAAGCTAGATCATTTTAGAAACTGGCCTTAAAGATTTGGAGAGCCACAGAATTCTTCTACTTTGCAATTTGGAGCATGCTGCTGGAAAACATCTCCTTTGGGACATAAATATGACAGCCCCAACATGGAGTAGCCAGCTCCCAACACCATACAGCGAGATGGCAAGAAAGAAAAGGGAGAAGAGCAGACAAAGAAAAAAGTAATTTCTTAGAGATTCTAAGAGTGCCCTGATTAGGATGTAATACTATAAGCTTTAATTAGGAGCTAAGTGCTGTGTGCTAAATTCATCCCCACACACACCACTGTAAATTCAAAGTCACCCTACTAAGTTACCTTGGGTTTACGACAAGTGTACAACAGCAATGCATGGCTTACAGCTTCTGCAACAGCCCTTAATGAAACGTGGATTTTGTTGAACAAGCGTTAAGCTACGCAATAACCTGCTGATACAAATTCTTTCCCATAAGCAATGACTTAAATGAAAGGTTAGCAAAAATTAATTTTAAGTAGTCATCAGAAGTCTTGAATCTTCAAGAGCAAAGAGCCTCTGTTCCTCCATGACTCAAAACAGTTTAGACCAGAGTCTTCAGCAGCCCCTGTTCCAGTGTCCCTGCAACGGGCACTGTGTGCAATGTTAGCTCACAACTCGGGAGCGGTAATCAAACAACTTATTTTAGAGCAGCTGTGTGCTACTCCTATTATACCTGCTAGAATTTATTAGGCAATAAATAGTTTGGTAGCAACTTAAGAGATGCAAGTATTGTCCATCCACACACTAATTTAATCTCAGAACACACGCTTAATGCCCTGAGTCCGTTTGCATAAGCGCTGTTGCTGTAATACAGTTTCAGGAACACAAGGAGAAACTGCTAACACGAAGTGTGTAACAACGCTGATGGGCCTCTATAGATAACCAAGATGTAAACAACATCAAAAAATGAACAACCAGCATTGAGTAATCATCACATTAAAAAAAAAAAAAAACAAAACAGATCTCACTAGCTCAAATGGCTAAGCAGGTTCAGCAGATCAAGAGAAGGAACATTTGCTGACTAACAGTTAGGTAATGAAAGTAAACACTTGCAATGAAGTCATCATCCTAATGAAAGCCATGGCAGTGTTAACTACCTAGACCATAATCCACTAGTAGGTTTTAATGCAGGCTCACTAACATAATATTTACTAGAATCACTCCAGCTGGAAAAGGAAAGGAAGTTTCATTTACTTCTAACGTAGAAGTGACAGTCAAGAAATACTGTTGTCTGTTAAGCTGTTCTAACTCCCAAGTACTGTACTGGGGACACCCAGAGAGTTTCTGTGCAGTTATAGTGAGTAACTGAACAACAGAATTTTGCCTTCAGTGTCTGAATCAGAACAGCTTTATCCTAGCACTAGTGTATAAATATTTGCAGCATGTAAGATGTCTGCTTTGAAAAAACAATGTTGCTCCAAGTTTCAAATATCTGTATTGCAAATAACTAATCAAATAAATGAGACTTTTTTTTCCTTTTTTTTTTTTTTTGCCACACTGTGATGAGGTATCAATTAAGTTTATGGCTACAGAAAAAAAACAAATGACTATAGTAAGTTTTAGCTGATTAACTGCTGATATAACTAAGGATTTCAGATTTGCATACAGAAACTGTAATTCCACACAGCATCACCTTCACACAACTCCCAGTATGCAGTGGGAGTGGCAAGAGTGCTTATTAGGGGGCAGCACTGGGTTCACAAGCAACAAGTCAATTTACAGGGTAGTTGTAGACGCTTTTACCCAATTGAGGAACATCATACTTATGTGAAAAACAGCACTAAGTCCATTTCCCTCTTCACTGCAGAAATCAAATGCCTATTCAGGCTTAAAAGGTATGTATCTACAAATTCATACTTGTGTCTCAAAAACTTAAACGGGCACATTTTCTTGTAAAATTTGCAAGCTTGGACAAGTTGCTTCCTGCAAAACGCAAGCACTCTGCATTTCAGCTTTCTATTTTGATGACTTTAAGAAACAGTATAGTCAAATCCAGATTTCCAATTTAAGTACACATATACAGACTTCATCACTAGTCTCACAAAATCTTAGGCATTGGATCATTTTGCATACTGTATGTAATCCCAGAGAAATCCTGGAACTTCTTGGCACAAATTTAAGTCTTCACAGAAGTGAGGCCTTCAAAGCTGACAGGTTTTGGATCACACTAAATATAGATGCCCTTCATTAGATGGGACCTCAGCATAAAACTCACCAGTGAGGATCACAGATAACTACAGATAACTGTTGAAGTCACCTGTACACAAAGGCCTTAACAAAGAAATTCAAATAAACAGATTGCCCAAACTTTGCAAGAGTTGGTGACTACATAATTTCTATGACAATACTCTTCCAAGATACTCTTCTTGTGCAAACACCCACAGCAGGGTGCATTTTAAAGATAACTCATTTTTCAGTCAACTGAAGCCAAGGACACAGCTTCTTAAGGTGATCTGTAAAGTGTTAAGACATAAAAACCCTCCTTTGCTAAAATAAGGGATCAATTCAATAGGCATAAATTCAGAATGGTGACACAATCATTTTCAATCCCTTCAGTGAGTAGTTCTGTACTGATAATTGCTATTGTTAAATCTTGGTGACAGCACAATACTATGACCAACTATAAAATCATATGATTAACCTAATTTTTAAAGCAAAGACATTAGACATTGTCACAGGGAAACTTTAATCTACAAAAGTTGAATGTCACTCCTGTTGCTCCATTCCAGGCAGACACAGTTAGACAGGGGCCATGCTAACAAAGACCACTCCTCTCTTTAAACATGTTTAAGATCATTCTTTAGTACAATTCTTATTCTCACTGATGCTTTATTTTTTTCTTTTTTTTTCCCCTGTAGGCATTACCTTTGCATATTAAACTGAACAATTTAAAGGGGGGTTATGATGCCTTGTTTTTCACACAGACAACATAGCACTTATCACTAACTAGATGTCACTTCAACACCACTCAGTTTTATATGAACTAAAGGCTTGAAAGCAAACCCCAGGCAAGAATTTTTAGAGATATCTAAAAACCACTTTACACCAGGAGCTAGTAAAGGTGTGCACGCACCAGTAACACAGAGCCTCACACAAATTACTTTATTGTACAGAGCGCATTCAAGACAGCTATGGCAGCTACTCTTGTAAAACTGAAGATGTCTCCTGCAATAACCACACCATGACACTAATTACACCGCTGGTGCTCCTATGCAACCAGCTTCCAGTCTCACCAGGGAGGAAGCTCCAAAAACCACTGTGGCCCACCTAGGTGGGACACAATGGGGTGCACAGAGCAGCACATGACTGTGGGTTCGCGTGACTGAAGCAAAGGACACACTGGTGGGAAACAAAGCAGTAGCATCCACTGAAAGACAACACATCCTGGCCGGCTGCCGCAGACAAAACTACCTGAGCAAAATTACCAAAGTACTCCCTATCTCGATGAAACTTCTGCTCCCATCACCACTACCCTCCCTGGCACTGCTTCCCTCAAAATACCAAACACCTCTTAAAATACAGTTATTTTTGGCCCACTAGCAGCAGCCAGCCTGGCGGGCAAGTACGGGGGGGTTGTCCCAGCACCCAAGGCACATTACCACCCGCACCTGCCTGTGGGACACAGACCCCACGCCACACACACGTGCACCTGCCTCAGTGAAGCAATCTCACACTGTGGCACCCATGGGACCCCGGTTCTGCTGTACACACACATACCCAGTAGGACCTACAGGCACACACGTCTGGCTCACATGCAGCAATGCAATATACCCCATCCCTGCCCTGCATGTGTGCACACACCCTGCTTGCCACAACACCCTTCCCTGACCTGCGTGCACCTGCCCCGCATGCAACAGCGTGCTCCCCAATGTTCCCCCTGTCCCATCTACTTGCGAGGCTGACAGGGGGCAGCTGTCGGTCACTGCCCTCCCTCAGGGTCAGCATCCTCTTGCTTGGTCCAGGACACACAGGGCCTTAACACACCCGCAGGAAAGCAATGGTCAAAAATCAAGACGCACACATCCTCCAAAATAAAACTCTCAGATATCAACCTACCCACTCGTCACGTGCAGGGATGAGGACACAAGGGAAATCTGACACATCTTGAGAAAAACTCCTCCTCTCAAATCAACCCATGTTATGCCATTCAGCTTTTGCTTAAAATTACACGTTTCTC